TAGAACTGCAGGAATGCCGCCGCGTACAGGTCGTTCAGCACGGCGATGACTTGCTGCCTGCGGTTGCACTCCCTGAAACGGACGGAGAGGGGCTCAGCCGCCGTCCCGGCAGCCGAGGGAGGCGCCGGGGAGGGACCCCGCTCAACGGGAACGAGCGACAGATGCCCTTCGAGGCCCCCAAAACCACCGCCCAGGCCGGCTACGGAGCCGTCGGCCGCTCCGGACCTCACCTGGAGAGACATTCCTCCCTCAGGGCCTGGATGACGATGCGGGTGATGTTCACGGACATGATGCAGAAGGGGAAATTCTGCAAAGGAATGAGCGTTATCGCAGCTCGGCTGGAAAAATCCTCCTCTTTGCGGCACGCCGAGGTGCCCAGACAACACCTCCAGCCCTTTTACGCCGCATCCGCGCGGCCCCAGACCCACGGGATGGCGGCTGCAGGCAACAGATCCGGGTAGCAGGATAACGACACCAGGGTTTACAGGCTGAGATGGACGCTGCGGGTCAAGCCGAGCTTACATCCAGGCTTAAACCCAACCGTATCCGAGACCAAAATGCCGAGTTTAAGGAGACGGGCTCCACTCGCTCCCATTTTCACGCCGCGCTGCTCTTCGCCCACTTCTCCGGCCCTTTCAACCTGCACAAGTTCGGCTCCAACCCAGGAAACCGGGAGCAAACCTCTGATCTCCACCGGGACGCTGCAGTCTCATTCCCAGGATAAAGCCAACGCCTGGAGCTCGGCTCCAGCCTCCGACCGGAGCTCCTCAGCTCTTTGGGGACCACCCGCCTCCCCTTACCGGCGCGAGGGGGGTTTAAACAGCCAAAAAAAAGTCAAGCCCTTACTCTGAAGGGAAGGTTTTCGTGCTTCCCTTCCCCCGAGCGTTAGAAATAAACGGGTAGATACCGCCGCAGGGAGCAAGCGAAGAAGGTGGAAGGACGTGCCTGGGTTTCGTGCTGGGATAGTCTGAAAATCTCTTGAGCCAGAGGCAGCGTCCGAGAGTCCATGACGAAGTACAGCATCTGCATCAAGCCCAGCATCCCCGTCCCTCGCAGGTCAGTCCCGGGATCCGCACCTGGAAGGGTGGGACAGGCTGGTGAAGCGAGGGACGGCACCGAGTCGCTCTCCGGTCACCTCCCCGCTTCCACGGGCTGTTTATACCCTGTCGCGGTGTTTGAAGAGCAGAGGAATCCCAGCGATTCCCTTCGGGAGCCACATCCTGAAGGAAACCTCTCGGGGAATTGCCCTGAGCGGAGCCGAACGGGCGCCGTAGCCTCTTTCGTGTGGGCATTAACAAGCCCTTGCTCTCCCACCCACGCACCCATTCCCGCACCTTCTCTAGGAATCGCTTAGCTCCAAGCTCTACCCACCCCAGGGCACATTTGGCCGGTAAACTAACGCTTAAAACCAGCTGTGCACTCGACAGGACGGAGGAGCGGGAGCCCTTCCCCTCCTGTTGAGGGTTTTAGGCTTCATTAAAACCCGGCCTATTTAACTCTCGAGCCAACCAGCCCGAAAACTCCCCCGAGGCCGCACGCGACAGCTTTAATCGCGCTGTTTTTCTTACACACAGCCGAGGCCGAAAGCAACCTGCGACGCAACCTTGGTGACAGAGCCCCGACCTGCGCTTCGCTAATAAACCGGCCCTCCGGAGACGGCTCGTTAGCCGCAGAGATCGCTTGCTAATGAAGAGCGTTAATGGCCCGGGGCAAGGCGGTTAACGCCAACCTACTTCTCGTTACGCCTGCGCCACGGGCAACTGTGGCAGCGGGTATCGGCGTTAATGCCGGCGGGTATCGGCGTTAACCCGGCCGACCAGTCCCGACGTTGCACCGGCTGCGGCAGCTGGCTGGGGCAGCGACAGATCTGCCACGAAGCCAGGGCTCAGTATCGGGGCCGGTTCTGTTTAATATCGTTATCAAGGGTCTGGACGAGGGGATCGAGCGCACCCTCAGTCAGTTTGCAGACGGCACCGAGTTGGGCGGGAGCGTTGGTCTGCGGCCGCACCTCGAACACTGTGTTCGGTTTTGGGCCCCTCACTACAAGAAGGACGTCGAGGGGCTGGAGCGTGTCCAGAGAAGGGCAACGAGGCTGGTGAGGGGTCTGGAGAACAAGTCTGATGAGGAGCGGCTGAGGGAACTGGGGTTGTTCAGCCTGGAGAAAAGGAGGCT